CAATACAAAATTAAATGAAAAACAAAAATACAGCCATTGCTGGGAGCCGGTCCATCCTTGCTGTTTCAAGGGACCTGGCATATATGGCATACTGTTCTTAATATATTTGCTCACCTTCTTGGCACTATGTGTTTTAACCAAGGTCACCTCTCCGAGAAAGGTTGTTTCCCCAGGTAGAGATTTTCCCCTGAAGTTAGGGAGGGAATAAAATCCCTTCACTAAGTGCCAGGCAGGTAATTAATCTCTTTAACTACGAACAATCATGCTTAAGCTACATAATCCTTACTGCTGGAGAACATAGCAAGAGAACATGGGCATAGAACCTGGCTGGAGATCCTGGTTAGAACCAGGCGAGAGAATCCAACTATGCTGATCAACTGAACGCTGTCTCCGCGTCATTCATTCTTTGCCGACTCCGTCCACACCTTTGGGGACCCCTGGACTTGCTGGGGTTGGACCCCGGCAAGCCATGGCTTGAGAACCAGTGTCATCCCAAAAGATTCAGTTAAAAAACAAGATGAAACAGCTTATTGCCTCAATTTCCTCATCCGTAAGATAAGAAAAATAGTAATGTCTACCTTTTAAAATCACTGTGAGAATTTTATGAGACAATCCATTTTAAGTACAATGAAGTCTTTCTCTACTGGACTCATTTTTTAAAAAAAATATGTCCTTTTATTGTTTTTAGAGAGAAACATTGATGAGAGAAAAATATCAACATCCATCAGCTGCCTCCTGAATGCCCCCTGCTGGGGATCTAGTCCCCAGCCTGGGGATGTGCCCTGACCAGGAATCAAACCTGGTGACTTTCTGGTGCATGGGTTGATGCTCAACTACTGAGCCACACTGGAGGGTCTGGACTTACTCTTTTGAAGCCTAGCACATGCCTTCTGCCAGGTATCAACAAAAGAATGTCCAAACCCATAGGAAAGTTTTATAAGAGTTATTTGAGCTACAATTTTGAAGACATGCGCAGAAGCAAGATGTCAATGGATTGAGAAAATGCTCCAGAGAATGGCAGTTTTGCATTCCTTTTTACGCATTTAGAATCAAAGGAGAGAACTTAAGGAAGGTACATGAAATCCATTGGTGGTTGATAAGGAGGTGGGAGAAAGTAAAGTGGGAAAATCTATAGGATTGGATAAAAAGCAAAATAATGCATCAACCTAGGAACCAAGAGGTCACAGTTCGATTCCCTGTCAGGGCACATCCCCAGGCTAGGGGCTCAATCCCCAGTGGGGGGCTACAGGAGGCAGTCAATCATGATTTTCTCTCATCATTGATATTTCTATCTCTCTCTACCTCTCTTTTTTTCTCTAAAATCAATAAAAATAATTTTTTAAAAAAGCAAAATGGAGAAACATATACTTCTTTTACATTTGGTGGTTATAGTATAGTTAGTTAACATTTATAGCACATAGAGATTGAATTTAGGGAACAAGATAACAATTAAGTCTGTTCATGCTCTAGTGGTCTTGTGCTCTGGTACTTGTGGCTGTGCCTTCAAGGCATCTAGAAAAGAAAATTATTCTGATATTTCACATGTATGTTATCTTAGATGCAGAAGAACAACGGACAGGGCTTGCTTAAATTAAAGATTGACGTTTACTGAGGAAGCTATATGTCTGGGACATGACTACTCCCCATGACCTGCTCAGTTAGGAACTTTTTTTTCCAACAGCAAAACACCATATTGACGCTTTTAATAAAAAGTAACAATACTCAAATAATCTAATAAACACATATATAACAAAAGTGAAAAAAGTAGCTATGATGAGATGGTGTTCTTCCCCAAACCTCTGTCCTGTAAAGCAATCTAGGAGTCTGAGCCAAAGAAGCACTGCCATTTTGTTCATTCTTCCACCCACTGATACTTCCTTTGACCCACCTTCATACCCAGCTAACTCCAGTAATCCCTCTAGGGAAGGTTCTATGTTAGCCTTGGAACTTGCCGGTGCCTCAGTAAACAGACTGAAATGTTTAAAGTTGCAGTGCCTTTAGTCTTCTGGATAAAGAATGATGCTGGTACTGACTGGTTAAGGATATCTGTGCTGGAGGCAGTCACTATAGTGTCCCAGCTCTGCGACCACAGACTGCAAAACACCAGCATGTCTGGAAAGATTCCTTGGAAGGCTTAATAGTGACAGGTAAAGGGAAGAAACAACTCATGGGACCTAACAGAAGAAAGTGTCACTAAAAACAATTAACTGTCACTAATAACTAAAGAGTTATTTTCTTGAAACATGGTATTAGCAGAAAGATAAGAAAAGTAAAGTTTCACTCTCCATAAAAGCTTCCTCTGCCTGGCCGGTGTGGCTCAGTGTCAACCCATGAACTAGGAGGTCATAGTTAAATTCCCGGTCAGGTCACATACCTGGGTTGCGAATTTGATCCCCAGTAGGGGGCATGCAGGAGGCAGCCGATCCATGATTCTCTCACATCATTGATGTTTCTATCTCTCTCCCTCTTCCTTCCTCTCTGAAATCAATAAATATATTTTGTCTATATATATCTAAACTAATAAAAAGGTAATATGCTAATTAGACCAGGTTGACTGGCCATCTTCCAGATGCCCGACTTTCTTCCGGACAAAGCTATAGTGGTGGGGGCTGAGGCAGAGTCAGTTAGGGGCCATCAGGCTGGCAGGGGAGGGTAGTTGGGGGCGACTAGGCCAGCAGAAGAGGGCAGCAGTGTTAATCAGGCTGGCAGGGGAGCAGTTAGGAGGAAATTAGGCTGGCAGAAGTGATTAGGGGGAATCAAGC